CCCCCTCAGGAGACTCCGCCAGGCTTCAGCCTACTGACCTCCCCTCCAGCCAGGAACGACCTCGCTCCTGGGCTCGGGGTCCCGAAGTCCACCCCGTTTCATTTGGATGACTTCAGAAAATGGAAGATGCGGCCTGTCCCCACAGAGAGCCACCAGTGAGCCCAGTGAGAAGCGCCTCGCTCAAGGCCGCTCCAATGGGAGTCCGTCTGCGGGCAGCGCGCGTCCCGGAAGTAGCTCTCTCTACTTCCTCCAGCACGGCGCGAGAACGTGCCCCGCGGCCTGCGGCCCGGCGGGAAGCCTGGGAACCTCCTGCTCACGTGTCCCGTGCGCACTGCCTCGAGGGGCCCCAGGGGATGAGAGGAAGACTGCCGGGCGGATCCTTTCTTCCTTCCCACAGCCGCACGGCCTCCGCTGCTTCGACGGAAAGGCCGTGGTGCTGAGGGAAGATGCTCGCGTGCTGCGTGGCCCCGACCGGGCAGCCGTCCAGTGCGGCTAACGGAGAATGCGACACTGGCCCGGCGTGGACCTCTCTTGGTGGGCCAGCGCCCTGGAGGCCCTTCTCCGGCCTTTGCCGGGGTTAGGTGTAGAAAAGGTCTTCCGTCGCGCTCCACGTGTCCATCCGTCCTCTCCAGGCCACGGGCGACTGCGCCCCCCGGTGGCCAGGTGGCGCCTCAGGCGCCTTGGTGCTCTGGACAGCCTTGATGAATGGAGTCCCGAACCGGGCGCAGGTGCTGGATGCGCTTTGTAAAAATGATTAAGAATTCTTTGTCCTTTCTTTCTTCGTTTCTCTTCTTTTTTTCTTTCCTTCCTTCCCATTGAACCCAGGGGCGCTTAAGCACTTAGACATCTGCAGCCCTTTTTTATATTTTATTTACAGACAAGATCTCTCTAAATTGCTTAGGCTGGCTTTTGAGCTTGCAGTCCTTCTGGGATTATAGGTGCAGTGCCACAATGCCTGGCTAGGAATGATCTAGTCTTATATCTGTTTTATTTTTTAAAAAAATTAAAAAAAACTACAGCAAACAAAACAAACCCACAATCTCGAATATTATTTGAATACAAGGCTAAGTTTTTGAGTAGTTGACATGGGTTTAAAGAAAACGTTAAATTCAGAATACAAAGGTATTGCAAAATTTATGTAGGTGGTACTCAGAGGAATAACAGCAAACAGTTTAGCTATTGTGAATTGTGCTGCTGTAAACATTGATGTGACTGTGTCGCTGTAGTATGCTGTTTTTAAGTCCTTTGGGTATAGTCTGAGAGAGGGATAGCTGAGTCAAATGATGGTTCCATTCAAACTGTGGAGCCAACCTAGATGCCCTTCCGTGGATGAATGGATTAAAAAAATGTGGCATACATACACAATGGAATTTTACTCAGCATTAAAAGAGAATAAAATCATGACATTTCCAGTAAATGGATGGCGTTGGAGAAGGTAATGCTAAGTGAAGTTAGCCAATAACCAAAGAAACAAATGCCTAATGTTTTCTCTGATATAAGGAGGATGACTCATAGTGGATAGGGAGGGAGAGCATGGGAGGATTAGATGAATTCTAGATAGGGAAGAAGGGTGGGAGGGAAAGGGAGGGGGCAGGGGATTAGCAAGGATGGTGGAATGTGATGGTCATCATTATCCAAAGTACCTGTATGAAGAATCAAATTAGGTGTCAACATACTTTATATATAAACAGAGATATGAAAAACTGTGGTATATTTGTGTAATAAGAATTGTAATGCAGAAAAGTACATGAATAAAGGCATGAATTGGCATGAACATACTCTATATACAAAGATATAAAAAAATGTATTCTATATGTGTAATAAGAATTGTAATGCATTCCACTGTCATGTATTTAAAAAAATAAAGTCGATAAAACTAATTTAAAAAAAGGAATAACAGCAAACAAAACTGACAGTCTCACAAAGTCAATAGAAGGAATAGGTGGACATGATGGTTAATTTTTGTGTGTGAACTGTTAAACGTTTTTGAATGAGATTAATATTTGAATTTGTGAAATAGGTGAAAGCAAATTGCCCTCGGTGTGGATGGGCCTCATTCAATTAGTTGAAAGCCTGAATAGAACAAAAAGACTAGTCTCCCTGGGAATTAGGAGAATCTCCAACACACTCCCCTCGGATTTCATCTGCACCATTATTTCTCCTAGTTCTCTAGCCTGCTGGTCTCCAGTACAGATTTTGGACACACCAGTTTCCATAATCACATGAGCCAGTTCCTTTTAATAAATCTCTTTGTAGATATACACATCCTATTGATTTGGTTTCTGTGGGAAATCCTGGCCTGAATACAAAGGATAATTTCAAAGAGTCCTTTGTTTGACATTAAGTGTTTTAGGAGAAGACTTGACTAAAACCCGAAGCTCTGAAATGCTGAAGGTGTTACCCCATCACCTATCCACTGGGCAAACTCACCCTAGCTTGGGTGCTCACCTCTTCCTTCCCCTTCCCACCAGGTCCTAACAGCTGCTCACTTTGCCTGGACGGGAACAGTGTAATGTTATATAGATGGAGCTCTGGACCTAAATCAGGATATCTAGTGTCCTGGTTCAGTCTCCTCACAGTTTGCAACACTAGTTTATCAAAGTTCCTCCCCACTCTCAAATTCTGTTACATCTATGTGATGAGAGGGTTCATAGATGATATCAAAAATCTTTTTTGGAGGTGAGCATCTTTTCTCATTCCTGGTCTCTCTCTGCCATTTTCTTCATTTTGCCCCTGAAATGGTAGGATGACTTAACTGATTTTGTAAAAATATTTGGCTAGGCCCTGCCCTGCTTCTACTTGAGAACTGCAGAGATGATCTGTGCCTTGATAGGGGCCTATCCCTATTCACTGAACCTTCCCCAGGGAGCGTGCCTCAGCCCAGGCCTACCGTGATTGGGTGGGTAAGTCCCCATGATTCTAGGGTCTAAAATGAACAAGCTCTAGCTAATAGGCCTAGATTCACTGCCTATTATTTAACCACTATTGTGGAAAAAGGTGGCATTTTGGCTGCCATATTTTCTGTTTTATGTTTAAACTTGTTCAGAACAAAAGCAGGAAAATAAAGTAATGCTTTTATTGAGCTCCTTTTCTAGCACCTTTTAATTCTTACATTAAATAAGACTATGAAAACATAATGAATAAATACATATTAATGGGCCAATTTAACTCTTTGTAGGATATGTACATCTTAGGAACACTGTAAGGCTGGGGATATAGCTTAGTTCTAGAGTGGATGCCTAGCATGTGCAAGCCACTGGGTTTGGTCCCCAGAACTTAAAAAAGAAAAAAAAAAACACTATAACTACTCTGAGAAAATGAAAAATGGCAATGTTTTATGGTAAACATCATACAACTAAACTCCCCAATGGAAAGTATATTTTGAAGACCTTTTTAAAGATGCCTCAAGTAACACACATGTCTGTCAATCGGTCAACAGTTTTTTTAAAAGTTAAAAACAGATTATGAAGCTGAACTGTCTGGATTCAAATCCTGTCCATGTCCCTTACTAGCTGAGTGACCTTGAGTGGTTTTCAGTTTTTCCATCCACAAAATAAAGGTAATAGTAAGAACTTGAAAAACCTTGGTAAGCACCGTAACTTCTGTTATGTGTCAGGCACTGTGTTAGTCCTAGATCTGAGGAATTTTGCCTCTAGATTAAAAATCTATGAAACCAAGAAAGAAAATTGATTGAAGAGTTTGTGAGAATAGTAAAATTAAATCAAATGTGAACATTTGGTCCAGTAACAAGGATAAATTCCTGGAAAAACCTGACCTAGAAAACAGGATCAAGGTCATCTTCCCAGGATGAATGCCTAAGATTGACACCAGTTAGACGTTAACAACTTCCAAACCCAGGCAGGTTTTTGGACACCTGAAACAAGGTAAACAATGTACACGGGGCTTTGCTTCTGATGATACTGAATGCAATTCCTCCACCCTGCCACCAGGTGTCTACAGACACTCACACTTCCCCTCTAATACTATAAGCCACAAATAAGGGAGCTGAACTGAGACAAAAGTAACTGGCCACAGGGCACAGTTTGTTAGTGATGGACTCTGCACTGGCACCAGGTTCAGGTGACTGGTGAGTACTCAGCCCCAGAGTCTCGGTCGAGGAGAAGAAACAGATGTCATTACAGCTAAAGAGGAATCTTCTAGTCCACCAGTAAGGGGTTTAAATCCCGCCTCAGTTTCCTGAGCCTCCTCCCCAAGGTCTGACACTTTTCACTGTTGAAAAGTTATGTGTGACTATGTCTTCAGATGTCAGTGCTGAAATTCTCAGCTTCTATTACAAGCCCAGATATACTTCTTCCTTATGCCTTCGATGTCCCTCTCCCTGTGAATGCAGAAGCACCTTAGCACTGTTCAGTGCAAGCAGAGGTGTCATGTCACCAACTGCAAGCATTCACCTCTCTCCCCCTTCTTAGTTCTAGCTGTCGACAAACCTAAAGGTAACTACATGCACCTTTTTTCCCCATAAGCACACTGTTCTTGTAGCTCAGGCTCCACCATTAGCTACCAATCATGCTTTGGTTTGCCCTACCACTGTGTATGTGTTTGTCTTGCTTCTATGAATGCACTCCACCACCACTACCAAGTGGTAAGTTCCTTGAGGAAAGGGATTCTG